TCCATGTTGCCCTCTCCGCCGTCTCCCCGACACCCCTGCCTGCACCGACTTGTGTGCAAAGAGTGGAGTGCGGGGGGGGGGGGGGGAGAAAACGCAAAAGGAAATGCGTGTGCTCGGTTCCTCCATTGCCCCCCCCCCACTCCCGACCAGGGCACGCGCCCAAGTGCAAATGCGTGCAAAGCCCCGGGGCTGTGGAGCCGGAACGCCTGCTAGCATTCCCCCGAGCTGGATGTGCCTGCACAAGCGTTTGTGCATCTGTGCGTCTGTGCATCTGTGCGTCTGTGCAGCTGCATGCACGCGCACTGTTGCATACTTGCAAATACGTGGTGCCTGCCTCCATCGATGCATGCACGGGTGTGCGTCTCGGCCGGCGCGCGCGCCGGGCGCGAGTGTGTGTAAGTGTGCGCTCCACTCCCAGCTCGGCTCCTCTCGGTGCCCGGCCCCCTTCGCGCTCCAAGCCCCACCCCCCACCCCTCCGGGCTCCGCTTTTACAAAAGGTCTCCCCAGTGTTCGCCGCCGAGGCGCCCAGAGTGAGCCGGACCGCGGCCGCTGCGGCAGCCCTGGCTTTGCGCCCCGCCCAGTCCCTTTCCCCTGCCGGGGATCCCCCTCTTCCCCGCCCACCCCTTACCCCCCATGCAGCCTGGCGCCCTATGCTAGCCCTCCCCCTCCCCCCCTCCAGGAGCGGGGCGCCGCCGGGGGAGGAGGGGGAATCGGCTGCGGGTCCGCGGCGTTCCTAGCACCCAGCTCCCCTCCAAGCCGGGTCGCGATGTACGACTGCATGGAAGCGTTCGCCCCGGGCCCGCGCCGGCTGTACGGGGCGTCGGGGCCCGGGGCCGGCTTGCTGCGCAGAGCCGCGGGCAGCTCCTGCTTCGCCGGACTGGAGTCTTTGGGCTGGCCTCAACCCGCCAGCCTGCAGTGTAGGTACCGGAGCTCCGGGGCGGGGTGCGGGCTGCAGGGGAGGCCGCGGCTCGCTCTTTGCGTGTGTAGACGCTGGAAGCGGGGTGCGAGCGGAGACTCTCCCCCCGTCTCTGCGAGCGGCGGGTGTGCAGCAAAGGGAGGTGCTGGCCCTTTAAACGTGGGGACCTCAGCGACTCCTTTGGGTGTGTGCAGTAGTGTTTGGAGCGCGTGTGGCTCTTGGGGTGGGTGTCTCGCCCGGAGCTGCGGTTGATGCCGCCCCAGGATTTCTGAGGATGGGGAGGGAGCGGGGTGCTCCTGCCAGCTCGCGCCCGGGGGGATACGGCACCCTAGGCCGTGGGTGGCGTTTGTAGGCTCCACGTGGGAAGTTGGGAGCGTGAAAAACACTTGCAGAGCGTGTGAACCCCTGGAGGGTGCAGCCCTTACGTGGGCGGTGTGGGTGTGGGCGTCGGGGGGGTCTCGCCCGTGGGCCCCGACGGCGTTGGCAGGTCCGCGCGGGGGGCGCGAGGCCGGGGAGGCGTGTGCGCTGCGCGGCCTGGGGGTCGGCGGGGTCGGGGAGCGCCGCGCACGGGGAGCATCCCGGGTGCGCCCCGCGGGCGGAGGGCCGGGCCCTGGCGCCCCTCCCCCGCCCCGAGGAGCCGCGCTGGGCGCTGCGTGCGGGGCAGGGAGCCGGGGAGGGGGTGGGGGCTCGCCCCAGGGCCACGACCTCCAGCTGCGCTCGGAGAAGCGAAAAGTTGAAGGCAAAGTCGGCTTCTGGGCTTCTGGGGCTTCTGGGGCTTCTGGGGAGGGGGGTGGCGCGGAGGAGGCAGCGGCAGGGAGAGTGGGAGCCCTGGGTCCCCGAATATCCATCCTCCCCTCCCTGTGAAATGGGAGATGCCAGGCCTGGGGCCCAGAACCCCTGTGCAGGGCGGTAATAAAAAGCTGGGGACTGAGAGGCAGTAAAAATGAAGTCCAGATGAGAGGCGGCTTTGAAGCCTGGGCCCGAGCGCCTGGCGGGGGTGGGTGCGGGGAGGAGCCGGGAGGGGCGCCGGGAACACCCCCGAATCCACCGGGGCTGGGAGCGCGCCGGGAGCCGGGGCGGGCGGGGCGGGCGCCGGGGGAGGGCGCGCGGGGTCACCGGGGCCGCCGACGCGCCCGCTCGCTGGCTCCCGGCTGCGCTGTTTACGACAGTGCTCGGCGGCCTTTTTTTTTTTTTTTTTTTTGGCTTTTTCTCCTCTCTTTTTTTTTTTTCCTCTTCTGTTCTTTTTTTCTTTCTCGGTTCTTTGCTTTCTGCTTTTCCTTTCTTTTCTTTCTTTCTTTCTTTCGGCCTTCTGGTTCCAGGGCAGAGCTGCTCAGGTTTATTAACAGCTCAGCCCGGAGACTAGAGGAGGGAGGTGGCAACCGGGAGACCGCACTTTGGGGTGGGGTGCGGCAAGGATTAAAAGTGTGGGGTCTATAGGGTGGAGAAAGCATGGGGCTGTTATTACTTTGCATCAAATCCTGGTGAATGCTTAACTTTCCTTTCAGTGCCCAATAGGAAGGGGAGTCGGGGGTATGTCGGGAGGGGTGCTGAGGGGGAGAGACTTGCCCGGGAGGGGTTTTGTGGGGGCTGGGGCCTCTATTCAGGAGCCTGGCGGTCCCTGGGACTTGGCTGGCAGCGTGTTTTTGCATTTCAATTTAGGACCAGTCATTTTGGCCTCTAGGGTCTTGGTGGGCTTCAGGCCTGCTCCCCACACTTTGAGAGAGGAAGCAGCTTAGACCCGTGTCTAAGTCAGGGAGGGAGCGAGCTCCCTCGTGCAGGGGGCCACGCGCCGCGTTCGCGGGTGTCCGCGGGTGTCCTGGTGCTGCGCTCGCAGGCCAGGCCGGTGTTGGTGCGGGCGCTGAGCTGCGCTCCTGCAAACGCGCGCTGGATGTTGTGTGGCAGCTTTAGGACTTGTGCGCCCACGTCCACGGAGTGGCTGGGGCGGGCGTGCTTTTCTGCCCGCCTGTGTGTCCCGCGGTGCCAGGGGCCGCTTGGGGTGAAGGAGCCCATCGGTAGCGCGTCTGCTTCTGGGCCCCGCGTGCTTGTTGATGTGTGAGAGCGACTCCGGAGAGGTGTGTGTCAGGTTGTGTCTGGGCTTCTCGGCCCTGTGCCTCGCAGCTGGGAGCGTTTACAGCCGGTTATAAAGAGTTTGTTTGAAGCTCCGCTCAGCCTGGCCAGGAATTTCCTCAATTTCAGCAATTTGGGCTTTAAAAGGAGAAAAACCTAGAGCCCACCCCCCTCCTCCGCAGCAGGGGCCCCTGCCTAGCCTGGGAGCAGCCTCCCGACGGTGGGGACGGTGGGGACGGTGGGGACGGTGGGGTCTCGGCCCAGGGCTGAGAAGGGAACCTGAGCAGGCTTGACCAGATTAGCCTTCTTGTGCGCTTCACCCCCAGATTGACCAGAGCCCCCGGGCTGCCCTGGGAGGCTCAGGGGGCAGAGCGGTGCCCAGAAGGGGTGACGGCAGACAGGAAGGGCCGTCCGGGGCCTGCTCCCTGCGGCCCCCAGGCCGTAATTGCCCGGCTCTGCCCCAGCCGTCGGGCCGCACCCAGGCCCTTTCGCAAGAGAGGAAATGAGGCAGCGCTCTGCGGGCAGGGGCCCCCCCTCCGGCTGCGGGCAGCACCCGTGCCCTGCTCGGCCCCCAGGAGGGCTCCCCGAGGCCTGGCCCCGCTCCCGCCGGGCAGAGCGGACGCGGGCACCTCCCCCCCACCCCGCCCGTCGCGGGGAATCTCACTCCGGCAGGATTCTTATGCTAATGGCGGGAGGGCTCCCCTCCAGGGGGGGGTGGAGCTGGCCCGACCCCGGCCTCCGGGGCTGCCTCCGGCCTGTGGCGGCAGGGGGCGGACGTCGGACCAGGTGGGCTGCGGCCGGTTAGGAGGAACCAGGTGCTCCCAGGTGGGTGCGTGGGCCGCTCCCCAGGGGGGGGTCTTAGCGCTTTCCCGCCTTGACGTGGGCCGCCTAGGTTTGGGCGCCAGGTCCGACAGGTTGAGTAGTTCCTAGATCTTTCCAGCCTCTGAAGATCAGCTACAGACCCGAAGCCCCGAGTCAGGAAGGGCCTCCTGAGCAGCCCCGGGACCCCTCTGAGCCGCGATTGGGAGTCTGGGGGGCACGTTTCAGGGCGAAGTGTGGAGGCCCAGAGTCCAGCGCCAGCTCCCCTCCCCCACGGGCCGTTTACCCGCCGGCACCTGACTTTCCTGCTTTGCTACACCCCCAACCGCGCTACACCCCCAGCCGCTCTGGACCTGAGACCGAGCAGATACCTCCGTCCCAGCTTCTCCGAGTCGCCGCCCGGCCGCCTCGATCTGGTCAGGGGACCCGAGAGCCTGGGCTCCGCCATCAGCTGGCAGGGTGGCACCGGGCTGGCCACTGCCCTCTCCTGGCCTCCGTCCCTTCAGGTGTAAAATGAGGATGTTGGATATCCTCTAACCTACTTTCCTGTGTCCCATGTGCTCCACTGCCTCAGTGGTTTCTGGGTAAAAGGACCCTGGCAGCTATTTGGGGAGTGGCCGGAGAGGGAAAAACAGGGGAATTATCTACCCCGCATTACTTGGGAGAAAACACTTGGGAGGAAACGAGGTCCCCTGGGGCCCACTGAGTACCCCAGCAGGTCGCTTAGCCAGGCGCTAGCTACAGGTGGCCAGTACTTGGCCCAGATCTGTGGCCTCATAAGGAGGATGGTGGGGGCTAGACTATTGGGTGGACCGGTGGGACAGGCAGTGATAAAGAGTGCAGGGCCACAGCCCATAACCCTTCCAGCTGCCCACTTTATAGCTGGGGAATCTGAGTCCGGGGACATTACCATCCAGGGTGGCCTTGTCCTGGAATTTGGGGAACGGAGCAGGATCACGAGGGCTCAGGCTGGCCCTGTAGTGCAGGAAGATGGCCAGGCTGCAGGAGGTGCACTGATGGTGGTGGCTTGGGGCTTTCTGGAAGTATTTACTCTAGGGCTGTACGACGACTTGAAGTCACTGGTGGGGATGGTGTTGTCACCTCTGAGCCAGAGGGAGAAGTAGGGATGGGGTGTGTGCTGTGAGGATGCCTGGAGATCGGAGGGGTCCCGACCCTCACGTCACTGCTTCCCCCCCAGCGGTGGAGACTCAGAGCACTAGCTCAGAGGAGATGGTGCCCAGCTCGCCCTCGCCGCCTCCACCCCCTCGGGTCTACAAGCCGTGCTTCGTGTGCAATGACAAGTCCTCTGGCTACCACTATGGGGTCAGCTCCTGTGAAGGCTGCAAGGTGTGTGAGTAGTGGGGGTGGGAGCATAGGGCCTCTGGTCCGGGTGGTGGGGGAGAGACCCGAGTGAGCAGCTGTTGCTGTGGGGTGGGAGGGGCTGCTGCCCACGGAGGTGGCTCCTACACTAGCTCGGGCTGGGGCAACCCTGCAGGCCTGTGAGAGGCTGGTACTCCCAGCAGCCTGCTTCACTGCCCACCCCCACCCCCAACTCCAGGGCTTCTTCCGCCGCAGCATCCAGAAGAACATGGTGTACACGTGTCACCGCGACAAAAACTGCATCATCAACAAGGTGACCCGGAATCGCTGTCAGTACTGCCGGCTGCAGAAGTGCTTCGAAGTGGGCATGTCCAAAGAAGGTGGGCCCCGGGCCTGAGCGGGAGCCTCCTGTCCTTGCGGGTCATGGCTGCCTTCTCCCCACTGACCTCTGAGACCTGGCCCGCCCCGGGGTGCTGCCTCCACCCTGGCCAGGCCTGTGTGGTCTGTGCCATTCACCCGGGAGGCCCCACCCCTTGGGTTCTCCCTCTCAGAGCTTAATCCTTCCTGTGAATGAATGAAGGGGGGTCGCTGGCTCACTTGGACCTCTTTCATATGGGGAGGTTGGGGGGGGGCTTGCCAGTCCCTCCCCTGCTCCCAAGACTGAGCCTGAGGTGGATCTGGGGCACCCCCCCCTCCCCTGCGCCATTGTGCTGCCAAGGCTATAAGTGGATATCCTGCCGCCTGCATATCCTGCCCCCCCTCCCCAGCTCCTGCAGGGTTACAGGAAGGGCAGGATGGAGCCAAAGGGCTTGGGGAGGGAGCAGGGGCTGCAGGCCCTGGGTGGGGCTGGAGAGAGCCAGCCTGGGAATGGGAGCTAATGTGCCAGCTAGGGAAACTGAGGCAGTGATAAGGAGTGGACACGTGACAATTGGGGTGAGGGGGGTATCAGAGGGAGGTTCTGAGGGTCCTGACCCTCTCCTTGCGCCTTCACCTTCAAGCTGTGCGGAATGACAGGAATAAGAAGAAGAAGGAGGTGAAGGAAGAGGGGTCGCTTGACAGCTACGAGCTGAGCCCGCAGTTAGAAGAGCTCATCACCAAGGTCAGCAAGGCCCATCAGGAGACCTTCCCCTCACTCTGCCAGCTGGGCAAATACACCACGGTGAGTCCGGCGAGGGCTTTGGGGACGAGGTCGGGGTTGTAGGGGGGTCACAGTCCGGTGTCAGGACGAGGAAGGGCAGCAGTGCAGAGGGCAGAGCCTGGGGTCTGGGCAGAAGGAGGCCTCAGCTTGCCTTCCGACCTGCCCTCCCTAGAACTCCAGCGCAGACCACCGGGTCCAGCTGGACCTGGGGCTCTGGGACAAGTTCAGCGAGCTGGCCACCAAGTGCATCATCAAGATCGTGGAGTTTGCCAAGCGGCTGCCTGGCTTCACGGGGCTCAGCATTGCGGACCAGATCACTCTGCTCAAGGCTGCCTGCCTGGACATCCTGGTGAGTGGGGGCCTGTCTCCCGACACGCCTGACCCCGGGGGAGCCCGAGGAGTTGTCCGCACAAAGATTTCAGTGTCTTCCCCACCCCTGTCTGGTCTGGGCCTCCCCAGATCCCCTCTAAACCTGAGTTGGGTTCTTTGGGTCTTACCCCCACCCCAAGACCTGCTCCTGTGCTCCTGGACGCCCTGCGTCCTTCCGATTTCTCTTCCCTCCCCAGCTTTGGATCCTCCACCCCCCGCCGCCCTCCCTGCGCCTCCTGCAGGTTGCCCTCCTTCGGGCCTCCCCACCCGGTAGGTGCTCCTGCCCAGACAGACGCAGCACCCACCCCTCCCCCTGCCCACCTCTAGATGCTGCGGATCTGCACGAGGTACACCCCAGAACAGGACACCATGACCTTCTCCGACGGGCTCACTCTGAACCGGACCCAGATGCACAACGCGGGCTTCGGGCCCCTCACAGACCTCGTCTTTGCCTTCGCTGGGCAGCTCCTGCCGCTGGAGATGGATGACACGGAGACAGGGCTGCTCAGTGCCATCTGCCTCATCTGCGGAGGTGCAGGGGCGCCCCCTGGCGGTTACTCGGGCTCCTCCCCCCACACCCCACCCCGGCCCTCTGACCTGGCTGACCTCGCCCCTGCCCTGTCCACAGACCTCTCAGGCGCAGCCCTGAGCATGACGTGGACAGGGGGGCAGAGCAGAGGGAGAGCAGAGGAGACCCCATGTAACTGGTGCACCTGCACCAGATAAGGGGTCCGGGCAGGAGCGGTTTGCCAGAGGGGAGAAGGTGCAGGGCTCGGGGCAGGGGAGGTGGCCTGGGTAGGCTCCCGAACGACAGGCAGAGGGCTGATGGGACAGATTGGGGGCCCCGGGGGGGGGACCCTGGAGCAGGGTCTGGGACTCGGCCGCCTGTCACCGTCTCCTTCCCACCCCTTCCTCTCTCACTGCGCTGTGCTTGTCCCTGTAGACCGCATGGACCTGGAAGAACCAGAAAAAGTAGACAAGCTGCAGGAGCCGCTGCTAGAAGCCCTGAGGCTCTACGCCCGCCGGCGGCGGCCCAGCCAGCCCTACATGTTCCCAAGGATGCTCATGAAGATCACGGACCTCCGGGGCATCAGCACCAAGGGTTAGTCACGAGGGAACCTCTCCTCTCTCCTTCGGGACCTGCTGGTCTCTCAGGTCAGGCAGGCGGGTAAGCAGAGACCAGAACAGAGAATCAGGCGGTCTACGCTGGAACCCTAGGCCTGCCGCATGCTCGTGGGGAGACTTCAGGCAAATTCCGTCACGTACTGAACCTTGTTTTCCTGTTTGTAAGCGGGGCTATACGTGGACCGACCCCCTCAGTTACTGTGAGGGCGGAGGGAGCTAGCACCACAGCTTAGAACTGCTCAGAATTAAAAATGCAATTCCTCAGGGCGCCTGGGTGGCTCAGGCAGTGAAGCGCCGCCTTCCGCTCAGGTCATGATCCCAGGGTCTGGGGAAAAGGCCCCGCGTTGGGCTCCGTGCTCGATGCACAGCCTGCTTCTCCCTCTCCACTGCTTATGCTCTCGTGCTCTCTCTCTCTCTTAAATAAATGGGTGAAATCTTAAAAAAAAAAAAAAAAAAAAAAGGCAGTCCATCGGCTGCTGTACCTGCATTTCAGGTGCTCAGTGGCTAGTGAGGATTGTATTTTACGAAGCAGATAGTTCCATCATCACAGAAATTTCTGTTGGACCGTGATGGTTCAGAAGGATGCTTGGCAGGTAGGGGCTCGGTACATGTCAGCTGTGATTATAAAGATGAGTAAGAACAGGCCTGGGAACCACCGGCTGGCCGTGGACATGGAAGGTGGAGTGGGGTGCGCGGGGGGGTGCACTGGCCACGGGCCCGGTGTGACCCTTGAGGAGACCACCTAAAGGATGGGATGGGTGGGCAGCAGACTGGCCGAGGAGGCAGGCGGGGTGGCCCCCAGGACCCCTGGAGTCAGGAGACGGTGACCTGGGACAGTGGTGGCCGGCTTCTGCCGGGAGCCCCCTGGGGGAGAGGTTGGGGAGGTGGCCTCAAGGGGGCCTGGGCTTCTGCTCCCCTGAACCTCTTTGTCGCTCTGTCACAGGAGCAGAAAGGGCCATTACCCTGAAGATGGAGATTCCGGGCCCGATGCCTCCCCTAATCCGAGAGATGCTGGAGAACCCCGAAATGTTTGAGGACGACTCCTCGCAGCCTGGCCCCCACCCCAAGGCCTCTAGCGAGGATGAGGTTCCCCGGGGCCAGGGCAAACGGGGCTGCAGCCCCCCGCCTGACCAGGGCCCCTGACTTCCCCTGCCGTGGGGGTTGGGGCTCCAGGCAGCAGACTGACCATCTCCCAGACACCGCCAGTGCCCGGGGGAGGACCTGCTCTGCCCTCTCCACCCCTTCCAGTGAGCTCCTTGTTTTTGCCAAAGTTTCCAGGGGTGCCTCTGTGTTCATCCCCTTCCTGCTCCAACTGGCTCCCTCTCCAGTCTCGGGGGCCTGCCCTGTTCCCACCGGGAGAGAGGGCAGAGGGGTGAGCCTCAGTGTGGACTCCCAGATCTCAGCACTGCCCCTCAGACCCCAGGGTCCCGGGCTCCCCGGGGCAGGAGGACGACCCTGCCGGTTCTACAGCCCCCTCCTTTGCCGGGTGCTTAGGCCTCTGGGAGCCAACAGGAACACTAGAGACCAAAAAGGGGACGTAGGGGGAGGGCTGAGCCCACCCTCTTGCCCCGGGCCTTGGTGCCTCATGCACCTGCCGGATGCACGCTGCCCTCTGTGCCCCCTCGTCGCACCAGGTCGGGTTGGGGCAGGCTGGGCCCTGCATTTCTCTGGGGGCCAGAGGGTGAAAGAGACAGATGCAGGTCCACTGGGCACAGTTTGCTTGGGCCCACAGTTGACCTTGCGGCCTCCGTTACGAGCCCCTCCCCCAGCCCTGTCATGTGCCTTGGGCTTCCCCTGCCTCCCATCTCAGCCACCGGGGCAGGGACCCTCCTACACTACAGAGGGGCCCGGGGACCCCTCTCCCCCCTAGTGCCTTCCCCCCTTGATCTCCAGAGCAGCTTGGCCCAGGGAGGGGGGGGTGGACGCTGCTTAGCTGATCCTTCCCTGACCCAGAGGAAACCTCTATTTATTTATTAGCTTTTGTTTACACCCTGGACTTGACCCCTTCCTCCAGGGGTCTTGGGAGGGGGAGCCCAGGGCCCCTGTGACCCCTCCCTTCTTCCTCCAATCCCCAGTTTGTATTTAGCTGCCAAATAAGATCCCCACTGGCTCCCCTTTTTCTCTGGGGGGGTCAGGGTGCTGTCTCCTCCCCTCTGTTTACATCTCCCCTCCACCCCGCTGTATCGCATATTGCTGAGTTTTCTATTTTTGCAAAATAAAGTGATGGAAACTCATGACATGTGGCTTCCTCTGGGAAGTGGTAGGGGCAGTGACCCGGTGAGGAAGGTGAGCTCCTGATCTGGATTTTGCAGCTTTCCTAGGGAAACCAGGGAAATGGGGATGAAATGCGCCTGGGTGAGGATGGAAGGAGGGTGGGGAAAAGGAAGCCCACAGGGGCCTTCCTGGGTGTCTGGGCCTCCCACAGCCACCAGGTGTGGTTCTCAGATTGGACCCTATGGACCTCTGGGATGGTGTGAATGGGCCCAGAGGTCTTTAAGCTGCCCCACACCCACGGTGGTGTGTGTGTGCGCCTCTGCCCTCCTCTGGGGAGGGGGTTCACTGAAGCTGCACTTGGTTCTCATGAGGGTCTCTGGGCCCAGAGGAGAAGAAGCGCAGCTTGCATCTGAGTTACAGTGCTTCTGTGTTACACCAACCCTTTCCCATTCTAGGACCCCACTATCGCCTTGGAAGTCCCTCCCTCTGTTCTTTCTGACCCTTCACCCCATGACCCCACTGTCACCTTCTGTCCCAGTATCTCTCCTTGCCCCTGTGTGCCTTACCTCTGCAACACCCCATCCTCCGCGCACTGCCTGTGGCCTCTACCCCTGTGCCCCTCGCCCTCTGCACCCCCCACCTTCTTCCCTGGGGCAGCGCCCTGCCTACCTTGTGCCCGGCTTTCTTCACCGATGATCTGTGCATGAGAATGGGAGAGGGAGCTTGAGGATGTGGGAGTAGGAGAGGAGTGGGAAAAGCAGAAGAAGAAAGTGAAAGAGGCTCTGGAGGAAACCACAGGGCCTGCTCAGGGCCTGCGGGAAGGAGGGGTCATCGCCATGGTAACCCCTCCTGGTGGGGGAAGGGTACGAGGTAGAGGTAGAGGTCTGGTGGGCTGAGGCCGGCTGAAGAGGCCCCCAAAGCCCCAAGGGCTCCCCTGGCCCTGCCACTCCTCCAATCCGCCTGCTGCTCACTCCCACCCACCCACAGGTGGGCACTGGCCTAGGGGCCGTGGCTTCTCGGTCCCTGCTGCGCCCAGGGGCCCTTGGGGGGGCGTCCCCCGGCCTCTCCCCTTCTCTGCTCCGTCCCCAGCTTCCCAGCTCCCGCACCCGGACTTTCTCAGCCTCTCGCTGCTCCCCATCTTTCTCAGCCCCCGAGCCTCTTCCCAGGCCTCGGGTGGGCCGGGTCCTCTGGGGAGCCACTGACGTGCGCCACCTCCTTTAGTTCTCCGCAGCGCTCGCTTGGTTCCCCCGGCGCAGGAAGGTCAAGTGGCTCTGGATGGGCTCGGGGACCGGGCCAGGGGCCGGGATGGGCTCGGGCGCTCCGGCTCCACAGCCTGCGGGTCCAGCACCCACCGGTACCCCGGGCATCAGCTTTTCAAAATTAGTGCGCATGGTCCCTCATCCCCCCACCCCTACTCTCTGCCCCCCTATCCCACCCCTGTAGGAGGAAGTGGAGATGGCACAGCCTCTTGGGGAGCGGGCAGCCCTGGATCGAAGCCCCCCAGCAGCCAGTGGCTGGCTCTGTGGCCTTGGGCAAAGACTTGTATTTCTTGCCTCTGGGCCTCAACATCTCCCTTTCCTCTTAGCCTCTACATCTGTAAAACTGGGGGGCTGTGTCCTGGGAAAGGTACAGCAAGGTGATGTGCCCGGCGGGTGATAGGCGCTCAGTAGGCAGCCGAGCTTCTTGCCTTCCTTCCAGATCCCTCATTGTCATCATCAACCCCCTTGGCTCAGTTCCACCCCCTCGGGCTCCACCTTCTCCTAGGTCAGTTACCCCACCACCCCGAAATCTCCTCCACCCCACCCCAGGGCGTGTCACTTCCTCCTCTGCAGCCTCCCAGATCAGTACACAAAGGCCACCGCTGCTGGAGGAAGGGCTGCTCTGCACGCACCTGTGAGTACCAGGGCACAGCCCTCCAGCCTCCTCTCCTCACTGGCCCAACCCCCACCTGCTCCCCATCTTCCACGAAAGAGGGTTCCAGGGGAAAGAGGGTTCCAGGGGGCTCTGACCTGAGGATGGACACCCAGGATCTGGCTGAGACTTGAGAAAGGCTCTGAACTCCTTTCTGCATTCCTAAGATCCTCATCCTAGTTCCCTCCTCTAGTTTCTCAAGCTCTCCCTCCCGTCCGTCTCTCCTGCATGGGTTTCCCAAAAGTGGGGCCGGAGGGAGGCAAAGAAGGTAGGGGAAGCTGCTATCATGTGAGTGCCCCCCACGTGCCAAGGATTATGTCAAGGTAGGGCTCTCCCAACATGACTCCCCAGCTCCTACCCCTGCTGCCTGGTGGCTGGTGCTCGGCTCAGATCTGCCAGTGGCACATGGTGTGGATACCACAGTCCTGGGAGACCGTGGCCCAGGGGCTCAGTTCTCTTCCCTCCCCGTGCTGCTGAGCGGGCAGCAGAGGATTCCACTTGGTTTGGGAGACCTGGTGGTTGGCGAAATGCTGTTTCTCAGGTGCTGAGGGGATGTTAGGGTGTATGTTGGAGTCAGGATCGAGTCCAGGAAAATGAAAATCATGGAGGGAAAGAAGGGAAGACTGAAGAAGACCCCCGTCCCGTCCCGCCCCAGAGTGGAGCCCACTGGAGCTGGTGGCGAGAAGGCACAGCTTCTGATGCTGATGGTGCCTGGGTTGGAAGGGAGGGAAGTGGCAAACTGAGCCTCACCTGTCTTGGTCCCTGTTCGCTGTGTGGCCATGGTGGGCAAGTCACTTGCCGCTCCGGGGTTCAGGGTTCCATTTGTAAAAAGAGGGGGATGAAGTAGACAATCCTGCTGCTCTATGGTTAGGATATGAGGGCAAAGGAAGTAAAACAAAAGAGCTGTAAAGAAGTGGAGAAGAGAAAAGCAGCAGAAAGATGTCATCAAATTTTTGAATGGGTGGGGGTGGCGGGGAAGGGGAGGGAGAGAGAGATGAGCAGAAAGAAGCGGCAGTTCATGTATCCCCAAGTAAGGAAGGAGGAGGAAACCTGCGAGTAAGAGGAAAATTGGGGAGTCCTGTGCAGGGAGCCCCAGGGGGCTCCCTTTAGGGAAGATGAGAGGGTTTGAGATCTCTGGGTTTGTCTAATCCTGGGGGCCCCACCTGTGACAGATGAGTCAAAACTTCAAAACTGGGTTTTGTGCTGTAGCATCTCCAACCTCCTCGACCACAGGCGTGCAGAACAAGCGGGGCTGAGGTTACAGAGGCTGAGCCCTGGGCTGGCCTCGCACAGACGTGTGGCTCAGGGACATATATACACTGCACCTGAGGTCTCAAGTGGTGGCAAGCGGGGGAGGAGGACAGCTGAGGTAACCACGTGGCACCCCACCCCTTCCCCACACTGTGTAGAACATCAGTCTGAACCTAGGCCCAGGCTGAGGGGGATGCGGATGCTCCAGGCCAGAGTTAGCCGCCCTCTCTCACACACCACTGGCGGGAATATACCTGGCCTAGCTGCCAGAGAGGCTATGTCAGGAATATCGCCAACATTACAAAGGATACCTATTTCTTGGCCCTACAAATCCTCTTCCAGGGATTTATCCTACAGATTCACTTGCACACATGTGAAATCTTCATGGCAGCTTTAGTGTTTTGTTTTGTTTTTTAGGATTTTATTTATTTGAGAAAAAGAGAGAACAGAGGGAGAAGCAGACTCCTCGCTGAGCAGGGAGCCTGATGCGGAGCTTGATCCCAGGACCCCGGGAGGGTCCTGAAGGCAGATGCTGAGCTGACTGAGCCACCCAGGGGCCCCTGCAGCATTCGTTTTAACAATGAACAATTAGATAACAATTTAAATCCCCATGAGAGGGGATCCCTGGGTGGCTCAGCGGTTCAGTGCCTGCCTTTGGCCCAGGGCATGATCCTGGAGACCCGGGATCGAGTCCTGCGTCCGGCTCCCTGCACGGAGCCTGCTCTCCCTCTGCCTGTGTCTCTGCCTGTGTCTCTGCTGTGTCTCTGCCTCTCTCTCTCTATCATGAATAAATAAATAAAATCTTTAAAAAAAAAATCCCCATGAGAGACTGCCATCCATCCATGCAATGGAAACCTATACAGCTGTGAAAACAGAAGCAAGTTCTTTACTTTCTTGAGTAACAGGATCTCCAAGTAGTTAAAAGACAAAGAAAAGGGCAAAATGGTGTGTATGGTAGAATTGTGATTGTAGGATTCCATCATTAGATTCTACCATTTGAGGAGTATATATACTCACATTGGTTTGTGTGCATGAACAATCCCTAGAAGGACTGTACACAATAGGAGATCATGGAAAAAGATGGTCACTTAGTTGGAGTAAGGTGTGCAAATAAATGGGAGGTTGGGGGATAGGAGTGGGACATTCTCACTATCCTAATGTTCTGATTTTTTAAAAAGATTTTATTTATTCATGAGAGACACAGAGAAAGGCAGAGACCCAGGCAGAGAGAGAAGCAGCCTCCATGCAGGATGCCCGATGTGGGACCCAATCCTGGGACTCCAGGATCACGCCCCGGTCCAAAGGCAGGTGCCAAACCACTGAGCCACCCTGGGATCCCTGATTAATGGAATTGAGCATCTTTTTTCTGCACTTGTTGGCCATTTGTCTATCTTCTTCAAAGAAATGCCTTCTTAAGTCCTTTGCTGTTTAAAAATGAGGTGGTTTGGGATGCCTGGGTGGCTCACCAGTTGAGGGCCTGCCTTTGGCTCAGGGCGTGATCCTGGAGTCCCAGGATCGAGTCCCACATCGGGCTCCCTGCATGGAGCCTGCTTCTCCCTCTGCCTGTGTCTCTGCCTCTCTCTCTGTGTGTCTCTCATGAATAAATAAATAAAAACATTAAAAAAAATGAGGTGGTTTGCCTTTTTGTTGTTGAGTTGTAAGGGTTCTTTATATATTTTGGATACTTACCAGATAGATGGTTTGCAAGTATTTCCTCCCTTTCTGTAGTCTGTCTTTTCATTCTCTCCATAGTGCTCTTTGATGCACAAAACTTTTCTATTTGCACATTTATATTTTCATGAAGTCCAGTTTATCTATTTTTTTAAGATTTATTTATTTATTCATGATAGACACAGAGAGAGGGAGAGAGAGAAAGAGAGGCTGAGACACAGGCAGAGAGAGAAGCAGGCCCCATGCAGGGAGCCCGACGCGGGACTCGATCCTGGGACTCCAGGATCACACCCTGGGCTGCAGGCGGCGCTAAACTGCTGCGCCACTGGGGCTGCCCATGTTGCTTGTGCTTTTGATGTCATAGCTATGAATCCATTGTCAAATCCAAGGTCATGAAAATTTACCCATTTTCTTCCAAGAGTTTATAGTTCAAGGACTTACTTGGGTCTTTGATCCATTTTCAGTTAATTTTTGTATATGTTGTGAGGTAGGAGTCCAACTGCATTCTTTTACATGTGGATCGCCAGTCATCCCAACACCATTTGTTGAAGCTTGTTCTCTCCTCATTGAATAGTTTGGCACCTTTGTTCAAAAGCATTTGGCCATAAATGGACGGATTTATTACTGGACTCTCAATTTCATTCCATTGATCCATATGCCTACACTTATGCTAGCACCGCACTGCCTAGATTACTGTAGCTTTCTAGGAATTTTGGAAGAAGTGCGAGTTCTTTCCAAGATTGTTTTGGCTGTTCAGGGTCCCATGCAATTCCGTAGGAAGTATAGGACCAATTTTTCCATCTCTGTAATTAAAGGCCATTGTGATTTATCTTTTTGATTTTTTGATTTTATTTTTTTTTAAAGATTTTATTTATTTATTTATTCATGAGACACAGAGAAAGAGAGAGGCAGAGACACAGGCAGAGGGAGAAGCAGGCTCCATGCAGGGAGCCCGATGTGGGACTCGATCCCCGGTTTCCAGGATCACGCCCTGGGCCGAAGGTGGCACCAAACCTCTGAGCCACCCGGGCTGCCCTCTTTTTTATTTTTTTAAAAAAAGATTTTATTTATTTATTCGTGAGAGACGGGGGGGGGGGGGCGGGGGGCAGAGACACAGGCAGAGGGAGAAGCAGGCTCCATGCAGGGAGCCTGATGTGGGACTGATCCTGGGACCCGATCCCGGGACCCCAGGACCACACCCTGGGCCGAAGGCAGGCGCTAAAGCACCAAGCCACCCAGGGATCCCTGTCTTTTTGATTTTTTAAAAAATATCTAGTTATTTATTTGAGAGAGAGTACGTGTGTGTGTGAGAGAGAGAGAGAGAGAGAGAGAGAGAGAGAGTAGTGGGGAGGGTCAGAGGGGGAGAGGGACAGACAGGGAGAGAGAGAGAATGTGAGGCAGACACCCCGCTGAGTGCAAAGCCAGATGTGGGGCTCAGTCCCACAATCCTGAGATCATGACCCGGCCCTAGCTGAAACCAAGAGTCAGACACTGAATCCACTGAACCAGCCAGAAGCCCCTTAACTTTTTGATTTTTGAAGCATGGCTATGGCTTGCCTATTCGAATTTTTAATTAATACGTTTTTAAAAACCAGAAATTTGCTTCGTTTTCCCTAGAGGTCATTCCAGGAATTACCCTGCCTTCCGGGTCTTCCTTCAGCGTACATTTACTTTGTGCAAAGTACAGGACGGAAAAAGACTTTACCCACCTGGCTCGCCTTCCTCCGTTATCCCGGACCTTTAGGAAGTTTTCTTATGGCCTAATCTTTATGCCCCTCGCTGCCTTCCCTGCCTCTTTCCAATACTCCCTCGTCAGCTCCAGCCTTCCTTCCTCTCGTTCCTATTTCCTGACTTTCCTCCCTTAAATTTAGCACCTTTGACCCTCTTCCTTCACTTAGAATCCAAGATTATGAAAGCTGCAAAGGCCGTCGATTACTTGTTCTCCTCTGTCTCTTTACAGATGTGGAAGCCGAGGTCCAGGGGAACAGCCTGACCTGCCGTAGCCAGTGAGTGACCGAGGCAGGACCAGAACCCGCTGTTTCCTGTCCGGTTATTCCCGCTGTGGCTTGGAGTCCTGGTGAATAGACCTGGGTGGGTGTAGGCCTGAGCGCTTCCAGGCCCAGTCCCCAGACCCTTGTTAGGCCATTTTGCCCACCTTGGCCTAGTGAAGTCTGCACACAGGAGGGACTTCTCCCAGGCTCCCACCCAGGCATGGTACCTGACTCTTCCTGACATTTTAAAGAAACTGCTGAATCCACAGGAAGGCTGTGAGGGGAGATAAAGAATTGGGATTTAAGGGGGAAAAAAAAAAGAAGAAGAAGAAGATGAATTGGGGTTGTGGGCTCCCTGTCCCCCTTTGGTAAGCTCTGTGCCCAAGGTGGGGCTTGAACTCACCACCCTGAGATCAAAGTCACCTGCTCTACCAACTAAGCCAGCCAGGTGCCCCGGAGGTAGTTTTTTTTTTTTTTTAATGATAGTCATACAAAGAGAGAGAGAGAGAGAGGCAGAGACACAGGCAGAGGGAGAAGCAGGCTCCAGGCACCAGGAGCCCAACGTGGGATTCGATCCCGGGTCTCCAGGATCGCGCCCTGGGCCAAAGGCAGGCGCCAAACCGCTGCGCCACCCAGGGATCCCCCGGAGGTAGTTTTGAGAGTGACAACCACAGGCTAAGTTTAGAGGACTGAGACTTTGGAGGGCCTCCCTAAGGGCCCTCGTGACCCCGATATTCCATTGCAGGCCATGGTGGCTTTGTTAACGGTCCTTGTTCTCCTGCTGGCCCTGAGGAGAGGGGAGAGTGAATTAGATGCCAAGATCTCCTCCGCAGAGAAGGCCACAGAATGGAGGGATCCTGACCTGTCCCTGCTGGGGTCCTGCCAGCCTGCCCCCTCCTGCCGGGAATGCATCCTCTCACACCCGAGTTGTGCGTGGTGCAAGCAACTGGTAAAGATGGGCCTGTGGCCTTTGAACCCGGTGTACGTGTTTGTGCAGAACAGAGATACGTGTGTGATTGCGTGAGCAAATGTGTGATTTTCTGGGTGCACTCTGCAGTCCCATGTGTGAGTTTGTGCACATGGGACTCCTGTGTGTGACTGTGTGTGCGTGTGTGTGTGTACACATGCATGCAAGGTTCTGTGTGTATAGGTTTATGCATCCGTGTATTTGTGTGTATATGGAGAAGAGTTGTGACCATAACTCTGGAGCTGGAACTCACGCTCGTGTGTAGGTAGAGGGAGCCGTGGTACATACACATGTGGGAAAGTGCATTTGTCAGCTGGGCTGCCAGGACAGCATCCCACAGGCTGGGTGGCTTAAGCAACGGGCACCTGTTTGTCACAGTTCTGGGGGCTAGGCATCCGAGATAAGACAACAGCCCATTTGGTTCCCGGGGAGGGCCCTCTCCCTGGCCTGCACACAGGTGTAGACCAGCTCTTTGGTGCCTCTTCTGATAAGGGCAGCAATCCCAGGGCGCGAGGGTTCTCCCTCCAAGCTCTCACCTAACCCTAATTTCTTCCCATTTTCAAATGCCGTCACATTGGGTGTTAGTCCCTAGCAGAAAGTGGGTGACTGGGTTTCTGAGTCTGTGTTGGGGCGCGCGCATGAGGTTCCCAGGTATGTAGCCGCCTGTGGCTGGGAGAGCAGAGGGAGGAGCTGGGAGCCGGTGGGCTTTGGGGAGAGGCCGAGGCTGCCCTGGTGGGCGCTGGGGAGGCATGTTTGCCCGGCTGGTCAGGGCTGCTCTTTGTGCCTCGGGACAGGGCCCGGGGGTGGGGTGGGGTGCCAGGGCCTGGTGGCTGCCTGCACATGAGCCACCACAGGGCCCCAGGCAGAGGGAGAGCTGGGTGGGAGAGGGGGCAGCCCCCTGAGACAGGCGCCCTGGGAGTCGGGTGGCCAGCAGGCAGAGCAGGAGGTGCCAGGCCGGGGCCTGGGGACACCAGGCTTGTGTCTGCCTCCTTGGGTATCTGGACCTACCGCGGGCCTCAGGACCAGTGGAGCAGCCACTGTAGGCATTCCCTCCCTCCGGCGCCTCCCAGCCCCCAGGTACCCCGGGCGGGGGAGGGAGGGCCTGGTGGGTCCCAAGACTGAAGCTGGGCCTGAGCCTGCGGGCAGGTTGGACGGGAAGCCAGGCTCCTCCTCCCCTGGAGGTAGTGAGCGCCCCCCCTCCGCCCCCCCATCGCGGTAGGAAGTCTGTGGCCCTGGAGGGGGGTGTGTGTAGGTGCTGGGGAGGGGGGCAGCGGTGGGTGCTTGAGGAAGTGGGCTGCGACAAGGACGTGTGTGAGACCGCCGGGCGGGAGGGGAGGCATGGGGGCTTGGGGAGCTGCCTGCGAGGTGAGGGCTGCTGGGGCTGGGGCTGCGGGTGCGGCGGTGGGTGCTGGGGGGATAGGTGCTGCTCGAGGGGGTGTAGGTGCTGGGGAGGGGGCGGCGGCGGTGGGTGCTGGGGGGTTAGGTGCTGGGGAGGGGAGGGTAGGTGCTGGGGAGGGGGCGGTGGTGGGTGCTCTAGGAAGTGGGCCGTGATCAGGCCCGGGGGTGCGGGGTGACCGCGGGGCCGGGAGGGGAGGCCTGGGGTGACAAGGACGTGTGTGACCACCGCGGGGCCGGGGGCGGGGGCCGGGGGCGGGGGCCGGGGGGGGGGAGCTGCCCGCGAGCCGAGGGCCGCGGGTCCCGACGCGCCTCCCTTGGCCCAGAACTTCACGGCGTCGGGGGAAGCGGAGGAGCGGCGCTGCGGCCCCGCCCAGGAGCTGCTGGCCCGCGGCTGTGCCCCGACGGCGCTGGAGGAGCCCCGCGGGCGGCAGGAGGTGCTGCAGGAGCGGCCGCTGGGCTCGGGCTTCCGCGGCGAGGGGGCCACGCAGCTGACGCCGCAGCGGGTCCGCGTGGCGCTGCGCCCCGGTGAGTGGGGGTATGGGGGGAGGATGGGGGGAGGATGGGGAGGATGGGGGTGGGGGAGGATGGGGAGGATGGGGGAGGATGGGGAGGATGGGGGGCGGGGGGGATGGGGAGGATGGGGGGCGGGGGGGATGGGGAGGATGGGGGGTGGGGGGATGGGGGAGGATGGGGGTGGGGGAGGATGGGGGGAGGATGGGGGGTGGGGGAGGAGGATGCCCCCCCCCCCCCGGGATCCCGCTGCTGAGCCCCCGCCCGCCGCAGGGGAGCCGCAGCGGCTGGCCGTGCGCTTCCGCCGGGCCGAGGGCTACCCGGTGGACCTGTACTACCTCATGGACCTGAGCTACTCCATGAAGGACGACCTGGAGCGCGTGCGCCAGCTCGGCCACGACCTGCTGGTGCGGCTGCGGGAGGTCACCCAGTCGGTGCGCATCGGTGAGCGCCCCGCGCCCGGGCCGCCCGCCCCGCCCCGCCCCGCCCCGCCCCTCCTGGGCGCGGCCTCGCGCTCCGCCGCCTCCTCCCAGAGCTGCCGGCCGGGCCCGCAGGGACTCCCGAGGCTGCGGGCGCCACCCGCGTCCGCCCAGGGCCGCGCCCCAGCGACCCGCCCCCGCCCCCGCCAGCCTCAGCCCCGCGTCTCCCGCCGGGACCCAGTCGCCGCTGCACCCTCGTCCCCCTGCTTTGCCGCCGGCTGCACCCTGCACCCTGCGCCCTGCGCCCTGCACCCTGCGCCCTGCGCCCTGCACCCTGCGCCCTGCGCCCTGCGCCCTGCACCCTGCGCCCTGCACCCTGCGCCCTGCGCCCTGCGCCCTGCACCCTGCGCCCTGCGCCCTGCGCCCTGCGCCCTGCACCCTGCGCCCTGCGCCCTGCGCCCTGCTCTCCGCCTCGGGACACCCTGCTCGACCTCCACCTGGCCCGCTCGGGTCTCCGCCCCCGCCCCCCGCCCGAGCCCCTGAACAGCCCCGCCCTGCCCCCTCGCCCCGCCCCGTCAGCTCCCTCCTGCCCTGACTGTCCCGCGCCCCGCAGCGGCCTTCCACCTGCCGCCGGCCGGTGACCTCTGGCCCAGCCTTCACCATGCCCCCTCCCAGGCTTCGGCTCCTTCGTGGACAAGACGGTGCTGCCCTTCGTGAGCACGGTGCCCGCCAAGCTCCGCCACCCCTGCCCCACCCGGCTGGAGCGCTGCCAGCCGCCCTTCAGCTTCCGCCACGTGCTGTCCCTGACCGGCGACGCCACAGCCTTCGAGCGAGAGGTGGGCCGCCAGAGCGTGTCGGGCAACCTGGACTCGCCCGAAGGCGGCTTCGATGCCATTCTGCAGGCTGCGCTCTGCCAGGTGAGGCGCCGCCAAGGGGCCGCAGGCCGAAGCCCCGTTTGGGGCCGAGACTGCCACCCCGGGTCGGGCGGGCCCAATCCTAGGGAGCCCTCTGGACTACAGCCTCCGTGGTTGGCATATTTATTTTAACAATTTCCTGGTGGGGATCCCTGGGTGGCGCAGCGGTTTGGCGCCTGCCTTTGGCCCAGGGCGCGATCCTGGAGACCCGGGATCGAATCCCACATCGGGCTCCCGGTGCATGGAGCCTGCTTCTCCCTCTGCCTGTGTCTCTGCCTCTCTCTCTCTTTCTCTCTCTCTCTCTCTCTCTCTCTCTCTCTCTCTCTCTCTCTATCATAAATAAATAAAAATTAAAAAAAAAAACAATTTCCTGGTGGATTAGAGTGAAAGATTGCAAGGGAGAGGCAGGTTTTCCTAATTCACGAGGAGGCCTCAATGAACCCAACCCCGCCTGGATGGCTGGGGAGCAGAGGCGCTGCCGGCCCGGGCACACGCAAGCTGACTCCGAACGAGGCTGGCCAACCTTTGGCTCCTAGAGCCCGGGTGCACAGCCTACCTCCACCCCACTCCCCCCGCCCCAGGAGAAGATCGGCTGGAGAAACGTGTCCCGGCTGCTGGTGTTCACTTCAGACGACACGTTCCACACAGCTGGGGACGGGAAGTTGGGTGGCATTTTCATGCCCAGCGATGGGCACTGCCACTTGGACAGCAACGGCCTCTACAGTCGCAGCCCAGAGTTTGTGAGTCCCTGCCCTGAGTCACAGCTCCTCTGCCCCGAGGACCCCCACCCCAGCCTTACCAGTGACCACCCCGCAGCTCCTCCTCTCCATGTCCCCCCGCTGCTCGGTCACCCCCCGCCCCAGCTCCTCCCTCCTCCTGCTGAGCCTCCAGGGTCCCACTAGCTGGTGGAAGCCTGGTTCCTGGACTTCCCGCGCATTTCCTTGGATGGTGTTTGGGGGGGACCTGCGGCGCTCACCTTGTCCCCTCTCCCGTGCCCAGGACTACCCCTCTGTGGGCCAGGTAGCCCAGGCCCTGTCCGCAGCAAACATCCAGCCCATCTTTGCCGTCACCAGTGCCACGCTGCCTGTGTACCAGGTGAGAGCCCGCTGAATGCCACACCTTCCCGCCTGGAGCCTTTCTCGGCTCCCTCAAAGACCCACGCTCCTCCTCCCCGAAAGCCCCCCCTGCAGACCCCCAGAAGCCCACCTCCCCCGAACTGCGACCCACCATTGCCCCGGACTCCTCAATAACCCAGGAGCTGAGCAAGCTGATTCCTAAGTCCGCAGTGGGGGAGCTGAGTGAGGACTCCAGCAACGTGGTTCAGCTCATCATGGACGCGTACAATGTGAGGGGCTGGGCCTGGGCGAGCGCGGGGACGGGGGCACCGGAGGGGGGTCCGCAGGCTCTCCGTAACAGGGCCCTCGCTCTGGCTCACGTCTGTAGAGCTGAAGCGTCTGGCTTGCACAGAGCACGGAGCCCCGCTCGGGGCCAGGAAGGAAAGGAAGGTTCACTGAGCTGCTATCTCATGCCACGCGCTGTCCTAGCGCACTTGCCGTTTGCCATCTCGTTGACCCCCCTAAATCCCTGTTGGCTGACGATTATTGCCCCTATTTTATAGATGGGGCTACAGACACAGAGGGCTGAACGACTCGCCCAGGCTCATGCAGATAAGGGACGGAAGGGCTGGCACCGGTGCCCCTAAGTCCGCCTGGAGCCTGCCTTCGCTAAGCTTACAAATAGTTCAGAGATTCTCTTCACGGGAACCATAGGATTTTACAGGTAGAAGGAACCGCAAAGATCCACCAGGGTTTCTTGGGCTGAGGTCTTATCCCTGTAACCATGCCACAGGCTTATGACGGGTCATGGCCTCAACCCACGGCGAGAAAATCTGCGGCAGGATCCAAGTGCTCAGGACAAACTCCCTCGGAAGACTCTGCCCTTGAGCCCCTCGTGGGCTTAGGCCATATACCCTGATCTGGGGTTTGAGAAGCAGCCGCTGCGCGGTGGTGCCAGTGCCTGTGTCCCCGCCCCCGGCAGGGCCCTTGCTGCACTGACCCATGTGGTCCCTCGGGGTGCTCACACGTCTTCCTGCAGAGATGCCTCCCGCCTGGGCAGCCTGGTGGGGGCGAGGGGCCCCAAGGCGGCCCAGGGCAGGGTTAGGGTGAAGGTTGGAAGGGCTGGAGAAGGCACGAGGTGGGGCGGGAGTCCTGCCTTCACGTGGTTACTCACTGTCTCCCTTCCACAGAGCCTGTCATCCACTGTGACCCTCGAACACTCCGCGCTCCCTCCTGGGGTCCACATCTCCTATGAGTCTCTGTGTGGGGATCCTGAGAAGAGGGAGGCTGAGGCTGGGGACCGCGGCCAGTGCAGCCACGTCCCCATCAACCACACGGTGAGAGCCGGCCCAGACAGGCCCAAGGAAGGAAGTGGGGGCGGGGGAGGGAAGTGGAAGCCGCAGGAAGAGCTGGGGCAGACACAGAGAACAATGCAGAGGCATGGGGTAGTCCTGGCGTCCTCTGGAAAGGCCTTCAGGAGCGGCTTCCTCCAGGGGGGCTCTACGAGATGAGTGTCAGCATGACCCTCTCCCTTAATTTCCTAAGGACCAAGGTTCTGGATGATGAGTGGGTTTGGGGCGTGCGTGTGTGCGTGTGTGCGTGTGTGCGCGCACGCACAGGATCTTGAGTCTGATTTCTGCCCACGCGTCCTCAGGTGAACTTCTTGGTTACTCTCCAAGCTACCCGCTGCCTCTCAGAGCCCCATCTTCTGAGGCTCCGAGCCCTTGGCTTCTCAGAAGAGCTGACTGTGGAGCTGCACACCCTGTGTGACTGTAACTGCAGCGACACCCAGCCCCAGGCGCCCCACTGCAGTGACGGCCAGGGGCTCCTGCAGTGTGGGGTATGCAGGTGAGGCCGCCTGCTGCCTTCTCCCCACGTGGCTCCCAACACGCCCGAGCCCGGTATTCCTCCTCCGTCTTCTGTCCCCCACTGGCGTCTCTAGACCTCTTGTTCAAGACGCCACCCTGACTCACCTAAAGCTTCCCGGGCGTGCCGAGACCCTTCCCTCCACACTTCAGCCGCTCATCTCCCTCCAACTCTTTTGGGATCTTAGGCTTAGAGGATCTTGGGGAAGATGGGTCAAGGGATGGTCAGACCCACCGCTCCTCCCCTGGTTGTGCTCACCCTGCCTCCTCCTCCCCTCCCAGCTGTGCCCCCGGCCGCCTGGGTAGGCTCTGTGAATGCTCCGAGGCCGAGCTGTCCTCCCCAGACCTGGAGTCTGGGTGCCGGGCCCCCAACGGGACAGGGCCCTTGTGCAGCGGGAAGGGACGGTGCCAGTGTGGACGCTGCAGCTGCAGTGGACAGAGCTCCGGGCCTCTGTGCGAGTGTGATGATGCCAGCTGTGAGCGACACGAGGGCATCCTCTGTGGAGGTACCTGCGGACTTTGGGAGAAGGGTGGGGTCACAGTGGGTCCCAAGGCTATTTCGGCTCTGGAACTTCATGGCCCAAGGGCAAGTATCAAAGTTTCTGGTGTAGGAGCTGGAGGGGTCTGGCACACTCGGGAGGGAACTGGACGCACAGGAACAGCCCATGGTGGTGTGTGACACCCATGAGGAGTGAGGAGTATGGTTGTCACCCTTTGCGTGGCTCTCCCCAGGCTTTGGCCACTGCCAGTGTGGAAGGTGTCACTGCCACGCCAACCGCACCGGCTCAGCGTGCGAGTGCAGCATGGACACGGACAGCTGTCTGGGTCCAGAGGGGGAGGTCTGCAGCGGGCGCGGGGACTGCAAGTGCAACCGCTGCCAGTGCCGGGACGGCTACTTCGGTGCCCTCTGTGAGCAGTGCCCAGGCTGCAAGACATCATGTGAGAGACACAGGTGAGCCTTGGGTCTTGCAACTTGGGAGCAGGGGCCCAGGGGGTGCGGGGGTCGGGGTGCGCGGAGCCGCTCCCACCTGCCCCCTCCCTGCCCTGTGGTGCGAGCGACTGCTGCCCAGCTGGTAACCTGTTGGTGTCCACCGGACAGGGACTGTGCTGAGTGTGGGGCCTTTGGGACTGGTCCCCTGGCCACCAATTGCAGCGTGGCTTGCGCCCATTACAACGTGACTCTGGCTTTGGTCCCTGTCCTGGATGACGGCTGGTGCAAAGAGAGGACCCTAGACAACCAGCTGCTGTTCTTCCTGGTGGAGGAGGAGGCCGGAGGCATGGTCGTGTTGACAGTGAGACCCCAAGAGAGTAAGTGGGCAGGGATGCTGTGGACACACCACTGGGGGCCCCGAAGTTCGACGGGTAGGGCCTCAGACCTGGGTTGGGGAGGTGACGAGGGGAGGAAACCAGGCCAGGAGCTGAAGCAGAGCAGGGAGTCCAGGCAAAAGCGGAGGCGATGGGCCAAGCGGACAAGGCTAAGGCCCTGGGCCCTGAGGAGAACCTTGCACCTTGCTGGGTCCTTGTTTTAATGACAAGCGAGGCTGGGAGGCTGGACCCGCTACGGGCAACCGTCAGTCCCCGTGGCCGGGCCCCCAGAAGTCCGCGTGGTTTCCTCCCGCAGGAGGCGTGGATCACACCCAGGCCATCGTGTTGGGCTGTGTAGGGGGCATCGTGGCAGTGGGGCTGGGGCTGGTCCTGGCTTACCGGCTCTCCGTGGAAATCTACGACCGCCGAGAATTCAGCCGCTTTGAGAAGGAGCAGAAGCACCTCAACTGGAAGCAGGTGGGGGCTGCCTCCTACCCCCCAGGTCTTCCCTGGTTAGGACCCCCTGGCTCGCCGCTTCCCGCCCACCCCCAGCCTCGACTCCTTTCACCTCGGCCCCCCCGCTTTGGTCCATGTCTGCTGTGCCCTACGCCCTGCTCTTAGGGCGCTGCTCGAATTCCAGGGTGGCCCCTTGGGATCAGACAGAGGAGCAGCCCTGGGGCTTTTCCTCATCATTTCTGCCCTTCTTCCCCAGGAAAACAATCCTCTCTACAGAAGCGCCATCACGACCACGGTCAACCCCCACTTTCAGGAGACAGGGAGTCTCCTTTCCTGAAGTGGGGGAGAACACTCAGGACTCCTGAGGAATGGCTGTCACCTACTTCATCCCCTGAGGGACACCGAGGGGCCTCCTGCTGCAGCCTGGCTTCCCTCCTCACAAGGAGTGAGGCGTAGCCCCTGCTGCTCCCCGAACACAATAAAGTCTTCCCCCCAGAGCACAGCTGTCGTCGTGTCTTACCAAGGCCAGAGCAGGCTGTGGAGCCTGGGCCTCAGGAAAACCCAAGTGCATTCCTCCCCCTGCCACCTGAGGCCAGCGAGTCTACCTGACGGGCAGGAAACTCAGGTGGCTGCCGGGGGTGGGGCGGGTGGGGGGGCAGCAGGTGGAGGTGGGCTGCTCAATCCTCAGGTAACGTCGACCTAGGCTACAGAGCCACGCTTCGAGCAGCTCGCTGCTACCCTAAACTCCTCTGTTCTGGCGGGCAGGGCTTTGGGTTTTTCCCCCTTACTCAGAAGGGATACCCTGTTTTTACTTTCCTTTGTTGCTCTTCTGTGGAGGAGTTTTAAACTGGTGGTTTCCAGGATGCTGGACGTTTAGGGTAGTTATGTTGGGGGGGGGGGAGGCAGAAAACCACTTTGGCCCCAAAGTAAAAGCTTTCCCAAAAAAGAGATAGTATGTAGAAAAGCCCCATTTTCTTTTTATTTAAATATCCTAAATATATCACGAAGGAACATACACTGCACTTTAATGGTAAAAAGATACAAGTTTATAACATCTTATAAAAACTACCATTTAAAAGTGATCTTGTTCATTTGATATTCCCCTCCCCCAATAGCAAAATAAGTATATTAAAAAAAAAAAAAAAAGAGAGAGAGAAAGAGAGAAGAGGACAGAGAGGAAGAGTAGGAGGGATTGTTAAGATAAAAGCCCCAGGACTGCAGCAGAGGCAAAGAGCATCTGGGGAGAGGGTTAGAAGTTGTGGCGGGACCCCACGTCTCATTTAACCCTCCAAGGTCAAGCCATAGGGCACAATCAGTAGCTAAGTGATGAAAGAGGCTGCTGGGGGCTGGACGGAGAAGAGTTGGGGTGCAGGGAAGGGCAGGGCTGGTAGGGCCCGGTCCAAGGGCCCACCCAGAACTGGTGCTACTCCCCCAGACCCCCAAATCCCATGTCCTGGTCTCTGAGAGCCTGCCCTCCCTCCCTTTCCCTTCACTCCAAACGCACCTGAGGCATCTGTCCAGTGCTAGGCCCCGTCAGCTGAGGAGGGCGGGGGCCTTGGGCCCAGGCGCCTCTGCAGCGCTTAGTCTGTGGCTTCCCTGGGGTTGTGAGGGGGCTCCTGGGCCCCCTGGGAGGCTGAATCACTCCTTTCACCTCTTTGCTCCTCTCTCCTCACACATCCTTGGCCCCAGCAGCTCAGCACCTGGACGACTGTACCACCACCTACTGCTCCTGAGTTCCCCCCACACCCAATCCTTGGCAGGGGTGCTTCTGGTATGGCTCTTTATACATCTGCGCACAAACTGCCTCTCCTCCGCCCACCCCGGCAGGAGGCTGGGGCCGTGGGGGTCCAGGGCGCACCGTGGCCTAAGCACACATCTGCACACGTGGGGGCATAGGTCACTCACGGGATTTTCTCCACACACACCCCAACCCTAAACAGATTAGCTGCAAGTGGCAGGGAACGAAGCCTCCTATTTTCAAAAGTGCTCGTGGGAGAATAGTTTTGTAGATGGAGCTTCCCTCCAAGAACGTATTCCCAGAAGTGAAGGGTCAGTTCCAGCCCCAGCCCCAGCCCCAGCCCAGCCCTCACACACAGGAAGACACCCTGCCTGCGGGGACCACAGGACTGAGGTCTAGGTTCTGGACCGTATCAAATGGAAGTGCCAGCACAAAGCTGCAGAGCACAGGCAGCAAACACGCGCCCCATGTCTCTCCCAAAGGATCTCAGGTGCCATTAGGGAGAGTCTGTAGGGTGCCACGCCTTTCTTTTTCCCTGAAATCCTCACATTTCAGAGGTATAGAGCCCCCCTCCCCCGCCCTCCCAAACAGGTAGCAGCCGGGAGCTTTCTGCTGCTGTTCCCTACACCTTCCAGGAAATGAAGTCACACCGCCTGGAGCTGCCATCCTAGATCCCCACCGACAGCATGGTCAGGTTCACCAAGCCTCCATGATTACTCCCCTCTCCAGGTCAGGGCAGGCCACAGTGGGGGCCAACCAAACCCCAGAACCTTCCAGAGCAAGGTTTTTTTTTTTAATTTCACTTTAGAAAATCCATGTTTACAAGCTTTGGCTCGGGTTAAACACCCTAACCAGCCTGCTGAATCAATCCCAAACCACCCTCCAAAACAAAGCCCTTCACTCCCCTAAATCGAGTTCCTCAGCTCCTTCTGGGACCTCAAGCACCCTTCAGATTCGGTGGTGGTGGTGGTGAGGGGCTGTTTCATGCTCATCCTCCCCTGAGCTGAGGGCCAGAGAAGGGTTTGGCTCAATAATATGCCATCTCCAAACACAAGCACACATGTGAATGAACACACTCATGTATGCACGCACACGCACGCTCACACACACACTCACACACACACCCCTGATCACTTTTTTGGGGGTGGATAGGGTGGTGGTGTTGGGGCAGAGAGGAGCAAAGAACGTGATTAAGAACAAAACCTACAACAGGTTTCTTCCTGTCCTTTCTCTGCAGCACCCCTTTCCCCCCTAATTCTTGGTTGGGTAGGGATGGCCATTAAGAAGGAAGCGAAGATCTTATTCTTTGGAACCAAAGGCCACACCCTATCTCCTCTACCTGAATACAGTGATAGGACTTGGGCAGGGAGAGCAGCTCTCGCTGCTCAACAGTCATGTCAGGGGACACCAAACTCCTTTGTTTCTTGCTGCTCAACTTGGGACTAGTCTCAGGTTGTTCCTAAGACGACACAAGGAGAGACAGCCCCACTTTGATATCCATGACTACGCGCTCAACACCTCTGTCTGGCTCAGGAGTCAATGGCAGCGAGGTAGCCACACACTATCTCCAAGATCGAGTGCCCAAGAGGGCATGGAAGGGCTCCGTGGGCCGTTCTCACCCAAGTTCCCTCCACAAGGCACTTGAGCTGACCCCATCAGGTACCGGGTGGCCTGGCCATTGCAACAGCCGTGGGCATAGCTCTTGCTTGTCCCCGGGGGAAGTAAGAGGTACCTGCCCACTCTAGTTGGACCCAGCCCTTGTCTGCTCCTCCCGCCATTCTTCCTTCTGTCCCTACAGTGTATAAGGAGACCAATGCAAACTCAGCTGCCATCCCTGATACTACTCTCCTTCAAACAGAAGGTGAGGTGCAGGGCTGTGAACACTGAGGATCAACTGCAACCAAAAACTCAATTTTGGGGAGGGCTGGACCAGCCATAGTCCCTGCTTTGACCAGGGCTCTATGCCTCCATATTACCTGTATCCACAGTGTAGCTGCTAAAATTGCTTTTGGAAAAACAAAAACAAGAACAGAACAAACAAACAAACCCCTCTCCCCAATCCTTTCCATGTCAGCTGCCAGCTGGAGTCCAAGGTTGTGGGAGCCACACCAGTCTTGGTCCTGTACCTTCAGTCCCCACCTATAACCTCAGCCAAGGGTCCAGGGACTAGCTTCCCTACCCAGGAATGCTGGAGGAACGTCCCCGAGATACTCGTAGTCTCAGATTATTTACAGAGCTGAGGCTCTGAGGCCGCTGTCCCCTGATGCACTCTTCTGGTTTCCTGGGTCCACTCCTCCAGGAGGGGGACAGGTACAGACGGGGTGGTGGTGGCACCATCACACCAGAGAGGGTGCGCTCTTCGGTAAATTCTTCTCATCACTCCCACCACCCAGGGCCCCTTGCGCCTATAGAGAAAATTGCCCGTCGGAAGTCTTGGACTGGCACCCTTGGCACATCCGTTTGTGTCTGAGTAATCGATCTGTCCGAGAAAAACACTGAGAAGAAAGGAAGGATTAAGTGTTGAGAGGAGAACCTCAGCTACCTGCTGGCTAGCTCTGCCTTCCCCACACGGGGGCCGCATCCTGTTCCTCAGGCCCTCAACAAGTACGCAGACGGCAGGAGCACACAGTGGTTAAGAGCACAGGCTCTCAAGTCTGAGTCCTGGCTGTGCGCCCTTGGCCACGGTATCTATCAGCACTCAATCTGGACACTCATCTGTAACGAGGCTAAAAGTACCTTCACAGAAGGGCTACATCATTCATCCAATATTTATTGTCTGTCTCAAGGCAGGTACAGTTCTTGGGGCTGAGGATAGAGTGGAGAACCGGAGGGGCAAAAATCTCTGCCTCATGGAACTTCCATTCTAGCGTTTTGAGATTCAGTGTAAGAGAGTGGAGCAAAGCATCCAGGAAATGTTAGCTGTTATCATTTCTCATCTTTTGTTCGTGTCTTGTTTTGGTCCTCTCACACTCCCATCAGATCAGACACTGAACCCCCCCAGGGCAGAGAGCGTCTTTCTTCTTCCAGGTGCACCAGCTCTGAAGTCTGACTGAATCCTGCCTCTGCCCTCGATCTACTGTGTCCTTAGGAACTAGACTCTCTTTGAATCTCAATTTCCCCCAAAGCGAAATGATGGCAACACAGCAACTTTATGGAGTTAACACGAGGATTAAAAAAATAATCTATGTCAAATATGCTCTCATAGTGCCTCGTGCAGAAGTACTCAAGAAATGCTGCTATTGTTGTGACCATGATTCCCACGGCCCCTCCCCAAAAACAGTAGCATAAGGCTGGACAGATGCACCTCACCCCGAGGTAGTAGGTCTATGGTGGCCAGGAGTGTGAGGTGGCTTCCTATCGGGCAGAGGATGGCGGCTAGCCCCGGTTCTCGGTGAAGGAAATGTTTGTTGTGTGGGGCGGATGGATGACACGTGAGCTTACCTGATGACAACGTTCGCACTGGTAGGGCTTTTCGCCACTGTGCACACGCTTGTGACGCTCCAGGTGGTACTTCTGGATGAAGCGCATATCACATATATCACACTCAAATGGCTTCTCACCTGGCCCAGGTGGAGAGAGAAGTTAGTATTAGGAGGTACACAAGGCAGGGACTTCATTCCAGCTATTTTCCCAGAAATGTTTAATTCTTAGTAATGTGCAGACACCTAATTGGGAAAGGTCCTCAAAGCTGCTGGTCTCAGTGACACTAGAAATCTCTCCAGCTAATTCACTCACCTTCTTCCTCTATTTCTCATGCTCAGCCTCTGAAACATTTTTTAGTATGTGTGCTGCCGAAGTGAGCACATCGGCCTCTAAAAACAAACCCAACAAGAGCTGCACACAGACACTAAAAACTACAAACTACTGACTATGAGCAAAAGACTTACCAGTATGAATAAGGATGTGCCGCTTCAGGTGGTAACTGCTCCTAAAGGCTCCAAAGCAGTGTTCACAAATAAAATTTTTGGGAATCTTTACTTGAAAAGAGCCATTTTGTTCCACTACCACCACCTAGGGGCAACAATCAGGCATGTCATAAGGCTATCCCCTCAGCCTCCTCTCGGCCCCCATCCTACTCTGGGTCAATTTCCAGTTGCTGGACAAAGTAATCTTTCTGATGTTGTCATCTCCCTCATCCCTAGAGTTAAGAGACCCTCTGAGGCAGGAGGCGGGCATGGGCAAGCTGTCTGCCCATCAAACCCAACACCTCCGAATGTGACCTGAGGCTGGGGGGGCGGGGGGCACTGCCTGCCCTTTGCCACAGGATCCCACGCTTCCCTGGCTCCTGTTCCTTCACCAAGGATGTTCCAAAGAGTGCAGAGATCAAAGACCAACGCGGTCTATGGAGGAAATCAGTGACACACTCACTGGCTATGAGTGACCAAAACATCTAGGGAAAACTCCAGGTTGAACCACAGAGGAAAGAAGAGGAGGATTAACCCCATTACCAAATGGTACCAGACTGGGGATTACCCCATTACCTGCCTTTTTAACAGTCTTCTTTGAATGAGAGGACTCAGCCAAGCTGTCATCATCTTTGCGACTCCGGGACTTATCACTGTCTTTTCGGTGGCCCTTTTAAAACAAATCAAAGCTAAGCTCACGGTCTAACTCTGCACACAAGACAGGAAACCAAATGCTGCTTGCAGACAACTTCTAAATGAGAGTAACCACCTGCCCCAAAGGTTTAGAGACGGTATTCATCCATTTCCTAAGTGCTATGGTGTTAAGAGGTTAGAGATAAAGAAAAGTCCTTCCTTAGCTCTCTAAAATACCCACATTCATTCATTCCCCAGCTGGATCCCTTTTTCCCACTTCCCTAAACAGAAGCGCTGAGAAATCAAAGCTTGGCATCTCCTGGCAGAGAGCTTGGGCCACCCGACCCCCAGGTGCCACGATGGACTCAAACGCTGTACCTGACTTGAGCACCTCAGCACATCAGGGCTACCTGCCCGCTCTCCATTCTCGGCCTGCTTGCTGGCAATCTGGCTCAGCATCATCTTCTTGCTGGCTGCAGTAGGAACCAAACTCACACCTGCTAGGCCTTCACAAGCCAGGAGACTTGCCTAAGTTGAAAGGAGATGAGGTGTCAGGTCACCTGGCAGGGCAGGGCAAAAACAGGCTGCCATCTTCCGTAGAACTACCTTACACACCCAGCCACAAACAAACTGCCTCCCTAGGGAGCATCCCTCTTCAAGAAACTGCTTCCTTCAAGAGTCCTCCCTAACTCACCTCACCAGGAGTCAGTTGTTACTCATCAGCATTTAGATATACATCAAGTCAAAAAAGCCAGGTATCATGGACACTTTGGTCATTAGCAGCAGTGTGGTAGGGACAGTGTGTCAACGTGTTACTAGGTACTTCTAGGCCCTGTGAATGGGCAGGAGGGTCGGCTAACCCTGCTGAGCCATGGAAATGGGAGAGCAAACCTTCCTCCTCTTTTTAAGATTTTATTTATTTATTCATGAGACACACACACACACACACACACACACACACACACACGCACGCAGAGACATAGAGGGAGAAGCAGGCTCCACACAGAGAGCCCGACGTGGGACTCGATCCTGGCACTGGGATCAGGCCCTGGGCTGAAGGCAGATGGTCAACTGCTGAGCCACCCAGGGATCCCCATCCTTCCTCTTCTCAATAGCAGCTTCAGGGGCCACTTATGATGGGCGGACCTCACTGGTGCCAAATATATATTCTATCAGGTCCCATAAACATGCTTATCAGCAAAATTAGGTCAATTCTCCCCTTAGATTTTTATGTTTCCTAAGCGTCATCAATTATAACGGGTACGGAAATTAAATCACTTGGAAAGATTTTACCATTGAACATCACTTTCTCTTGACCCCCAAGGCCATTTATCTGTGTGCAAATCCATATATACTGTTTTCCATATATAATCCGTTTTATCCATTTTCACATTCTCTACTCTATGTACACCTTAAAAATTACTGAAATAGGAACGATTAAAAAAATTTCTTTTCATGGCTATATTCTCCAAACTAACTTTGTTTAGACAGCACTAGAGAATGTACTTTTCTTATTCAGAAAAAAAAAAAAAATTTTTAAGAAACACTAAAGAAATAGTTGATCAGTAAACTTCCATAAGTGATTTTATTTAAAAAAATTCCTTTTGGGAAAAAAAAGTAATAAAAATAAAAAAAGATTTCTTTTAGAAATTCCTTTTAGTATATCCTGGGACCCCCTCTCTCTCCTTTAAGGACTTTGGACAGAAAGGTCTAGAGGTGGAAAGTTTAGTTCTGCTGTTTCACCATGTGAGCTTGGCCAAATTACTCCACCTCTTCAGATCTCATTTTCCTTAAATGCAAAGTGTTTATGAGAGCATCTACTCTTGCAGGGTTGATGAGAATGAAAATAAGATACAAATGTCTAGCAGTACCCAGTACAAAGTTAGTGATTAGTGAAAGGCAGTCTTCTCAGAACAAGAGTGAACAACATGATGCCATGAAGTGGGTTGCAAACAAAGGAAGAAGAAACCGAAGGGCTCCTAATCGGCATGAAAAGGAGGAAGCTATGCATGTGGCTGGAAGAAAGCCAATTATACTATAATCAGGCTGTCATCCTGGTGAGACTAGTAAGGGAGGGTCCCTGGAAGAAAGCTGGGAGCAGCTCTGAGGATGCCTGCACATAGCTTTGCTATCCACACTTGAAACAACCTAACAGATCATCCTGTCTCTCCAATCCATCCTGTCCCCTCACAATTGCACTGATCTGACATTACTCTTAACGTTCTTCAGAAAGCTCCCATTCTTTACAGAATAAAGTTGAATTCCTTAGCAAGGCATAAAAGGCCCTTGGGTTATACTTGTACTTCTCCAGGAAACAACTCCCTCATCCTAACTTTTCCCTCTATCACTAACTATCCTATCCCCATAACCCGTTTAAATTTTTTTTAAAAAAGATTTTATTTATTCATGAGAGACACACAGAGAGGCAGAGACACAGGCAGAGGGAGAAGCAGGCTCCACGCAAGGAGCCTGATGTGGGACTGGATCCCGGGGCCCCGGGGTCACGCCCTGGACTGAAGGTGGCACTAAACCACTGAGCCAACAAGGCCGCCCCCCATAACCCCTTTAAATTCTTTCCTCCTTAATTAGCCAACTACCCACAGTACTCCTAACCTCATCACATTCTCCTATGCCTCTAAGTCTCTGCGCATGCAGTTCTCCTTGTATGAATGCCCTGTTCTGCTTGTTTATCTAGCAAAATCCCATGCATTCTTCAAGCTTCATCTGCTTCTTTTCATCCAGGCAGAGGTACCCTTCTCTCCTCCACAGTGTACATACCTTTATTATTGCACGTTTCTTCAATCAACAGATCCATTGATTTTCTACTGCTAACCAACCAGTATGCAAGGTATTGTGAATATAGAGATAAATTATAGACTGTCTCTCCATTTCCCCCCACCCCAATCCAACTAGCCTGGAAGCGTGCTGGGGACGGGGACGATCTTATTCATCTTTGTATCCCCAGCACAATGCCTTGCATGTAACAGGAGCTCAATTAATTCCCGTTGGGAAAAAAAAAACAAAACAAACAACCGAAGCATTAACCACACTGTTCACTCCTTCATGCCCCTCAGCACTCAACGTACCAAGTGTAAACTGAGCAGTTTTACAAAAGTCCCATCAGTGCCTGTGATGCAGAATAGCCTACCTCCTTCATTTGACTGGAAGCTCCCTGAAGGCAGGGGCTGTGGCCTGTCTCCTTTCCTTCCTCTAGATCTCCCCCTGGTGCTTAATACAGAGCTCGGCTCACTGGGTTGGTCAATATGTTGACTAAGGCAGCATTCAAGAGTGAAACTGCAAACACGCTTCCCAGTGATCTTGAAGGAGGAGGATTCTATAGCTTTTTACCTGAGCCATGCTGATTTCTCACTTAATGTAACCCAAAAGTTCAGGAGTTTCTTGGTCCACCTTTCCTAAGACACTGTTGTGTGAAGAACTGTCACCAAATCACTGTAACAACTCCTTCGTGTCCCTTCAGTCCCGCTGCCATAATGAACTGCCTTTGTCTTCAAATAGAACTTAGTGTCCTCCAAGGGGGGGGGGGGAGAAGATAGAGGTTCCAAGAATCCCTGGACTCTGCCTGGCTCCTGTCAATGGTCTGAAGAAACAGGCGGCCAGTCTTGGGCTTTCCAAATGAAATCTTCTCGTTGAAGTTTCACGCTCTGTTTCAGAAACCTGAAACCACAAAGGGAGACGGGGCTGTTAGGTGCAACATTCTCAGGCCAAAGGACGTGCGCGCGGTAGGCTGAACTTTTTTGTTGTTGTTGTTTTCGTCTTGTTTTTGTTTTTGGCTGGGTGCTCTCTGTGAACCTCAGAAAGAGGACGTTGGTCCAAGCAGAATTTTCTTTCTAGGTCAGGAGAAGAAACTGGTCTCCAGGGCAAAGAGGAGCTGCCAACGGGAGTAAAAGCGACCAGGGGGCGGGGGGGGGGGGGGGCAGCTCATGGAGGAACTGCAACAGGCCCACGGCTTGGATCTGCCTTTTTACGAAGAGAAGGGGGCGGAGGCCCTTCGGGGCTTTTGTGTCGAGTGGGCCGGGCCGCGAAGCTCGCACTTTATTAAGGAGGCCAGCACCGGGGGGGTAGAGAAATGCTCGGAGGCGACCTCCGGACGCTCGCTCGCTCGGGCAGCCAGGCAGCAGCCCGACTGGCAGGGTGCGCCGGGCCGGCCCACACGTGCGCGCTCCCCGAGTCGGCCCGAAGGTACGGAGACTCGCTGCGGCGGCGGGGAGGCGGGCAAGCGGGCAGGCGGGTAAGCAGGCGGCAGGAGGCAGGCGGGCGGGCGGGCATGCAGGCAGGCGGGCAGGAGGCTGGCAGGAGGGAAAGCAGGCAGGAGGCAGTTGGGCAAGCAGGCAGGCAGGCGGGCGGGCGGGCAGGCGGGCAGGAGGCAGGCAGGCCGGCGCCGCGCGTCCCCTCCTCCCCCTCCCCTCCAGCCGCCCCGAGGAGGAGCGCGCCCGCGCCCGCGCCCGCGCCCCCGCCAGGCCACCCCCTCCGCCGGCCGGGGACGCGGCCCTCCAGGCGGGCGGGGGGCGCAGCGCGCGCGTCCCCGGCTCTCCCGGCGCTCCCCGGCCCGCCCCGGCCGGCCCCCTCCCGCCTTCCCCTCCCCCTCCCGCGCGGCGCCCCACGGCCTGCGCGCTGCCGAGGCGCTGCCGCCCGCCCGGACGCCGCCGCGCTCCCCGAGGCGCGCCCCTACCTGCCGGGCGCGGCCTCCCGCGGCCTCCCCCGCCGCGCGGCGCCTCCTCCAGGCCCCAGCGCCCCGTGCCAAGCCTGGGGCCGCCGCTGCCCTGCCGGGACCGAGGCAAGTTTACAAACACCAACCCGGGGCCCGTTTCCCCGGAAGCACTTCCCCCTCCCCCGCGCCCCCTCAGCCGAGCAGCGATATCCACTTCCGGGCTCGGAGCCGGGGACCGGCGGGAGCAGCCAGAAAGGGGGTGAGGCCGAGGACGCTGGGAGGGGGCGCCGCCGGCGAGGGGGCGGGGCCGGCGCGCGGGAGGACGGGAAAGGGGGCGGGCCGGCGCCGCCGCGCGTGCGCCGTGCCGTGGGCGCGCCCCTCGGCGGCCATCTTGGCTGAGGGCAGGAACGGAGACCGTCAGGCGACGCGCGCCAGGTGCGCTTGGATGGTTCTGCTAGGTGGGTCGGTTAAGGCTCGTTGGGGACGCGCCTTGGCCTCCCTCGCTCGCCGACCTGTCGCATCTGACCCTGTCGCTTCTGAGCCTGGGCCGTCCAGTCGGCCGGGAGGAGTTAACTTTCTGCGGGGCCAGGCCCCCGAGGCGACCCTGGGTGCCCCACCGCGCTGCGCCAGCCCAGGCCTGCGGGCGTGCGGCATCGCCTCCCCGGCGGGAGGACGCCCTGGGGCCCCGCTCAGCGCACGGTCAGCTCCATCCCAGCCTGAGCGCCGCGGCGGCGCCTGTGTCCGCGCTAAGAAAACGGAGACCGTGACCTCTCCTTAGGGTCTCCCACCCCCGGCTGTTGGGGGCAGGCCCCGCTAGTGATGGACTGTGCCAGGTGCTCCTAATGGAAGGAGTTGTCGGTTCCGTTTAAGGCCCAGCTTCTGCTGCAGGTGCTGTCAGGCTGTGGGATTAGGAAAACACCAACTGAGATGTCTAAAGAAAAAAAATTAAATTATGGGAAAAAAAAAAAAGAGGCATTCCCAACTATCCCTTTGTGCACGGGGTTCGTTTCCCCCAGCGCTTTGTGTTTTGAGCCGTTGACAGCAAATCTTTGTGCTCTTAGACTCATGATGAAATTGATGAAATAGAGAAATGTTATCAGAAATAAATTTTTTTTAAGGGTTTTTATTTGTTTATTGATGAGACACAGGCAGAGGGAGAAGCAGGCTCCATGCAGGGAGCCCGACGCAGGACTCGATCCCAGGACCCTGGGGTCACGACCTGGGCTGAAGGCAGGTGCCCAAGCGCTGAGCCACCCGGGCTACCTTGAAATAAATATTTTTTATTTTTTATTTTTTTTGAAATAAATATTTTTAAAAAATTAGTTCATACTTATCTTGACAGATCCTGCACACACGAAAGAAAAGGCAAGAAGTGTGAAGTTTTTTCTTCTATTATCCTGTGCTTCTGAAGATAGTCACTCTTATCAGTTTGGCAAATGTACCTTCAGGTCTTTTTCTATATTCATACAAATTTTTTTTTTTTTTAATTATTTACTCTTCTTTTTTTTTTTTTTTTTTAAGATTTTATTTATTCATGAGAAACAGAGAGGAGAGAGACACAGGCAGAGGGAGAAGCAGGCTCCATGCAGGGAGCCTGAGGCGGGACTTGATCCCAGGACCCCGGGGTCATGCCCTGGGCCGAAGGCAGTTGCCCAACCGCTGAGCCACCCAGGCTGCCCCGAAATAAATGTTTTTAGACTTTTTTTTGAAATAAATATTTTTTTAAAAATTAGCTCATATTTATTTTGACAGATCCGCACACACAAAAGAATAAAAGGCAAGAAGTGTGAAGTTTCTTCTTCTATCCTGTGCTTCTGAAGATAGTCACTTTTATCAGTTTGGCAAATGTACATTCAGGTCTTTTTCTATACTCATACAAAATTTTTTTTTTAAGTTATTTACTTTTTTTTGAGAGAAACACAAACAGGAGGGAGGGGCAGATGCAGATGCCGGGCTGAGCAGGGAGCCCAATGTGGCTGGATCCCAGGGTGCTGGGATCCTAATCGGAGCAGAAGGCAGATGCTTCACAGATGGAGCCACCCAGTTGCCCCTTGCATAAATTTATTTTTCATCCAGTGTATTTATTGAGCACTTTCAGTGCTGGACAGAAGTGTTAGATTGTAGACATCTAAGTTCTTTAATATTTTAACAATTGTGTAATATCCTAACTTATATTTGTACTTGGATTTGTTCAGACTCATCCTGATGAAGATTTAGGTTACTTTTGTTATTTTGGCTTATAAACAATGCCATAAGGAACATCTTCATATGGTTATCCTTTTGCATTAGTAGATTCATAGATAGGATACGTGCGTTTTATTTATTTATTTTTAAGATTTTATTTATTTATTCATGAGAGATACACAGAGAGAGAGAGGCAGAGACACACACAGGCAGAGGGAGGAGCAGGCTCCATGCAAGGAGCCCGATGTGGGACTCGATCCCAGGTCTCCAGGATCACACCCGGGCTGCAGACGGCGCTAAACCGCTGAGCCACCCGGGCTGCCCTGATACGTGCGTTTTAAATTTCAGTCAAGGGCAGCCCGGGTGGCTTAGTGGTTTAGCACTGCCGTGGGCCCAGAGCCTGATCCTGGAGTCACGAGATCAAGTCCCACATTGGGCTCCCTGCATGGAGCGTGCTTCTTCCTCTGCCTCTCTCTCTATCTCTCTGTGTATGTCTCTCATGAATAAATAAAAATCTTTAAAAAAAAATAAATTTCAGTCAATTCTGTAAAATTGAATTTCAGTTTGTAATAATTTACAGGCTCACTCAAACAGGAGTGAATGTCCCCATTTCCTGCAACATAGCAATACTGGATACTATGAATTTTTAGTGGAGTTGCCAATTTAATAGATGAAAAATAGTAATTTTATTGCTTAAATTTGCGTATCATCAGTAGTGGAATTGAGCAACCTCTGTTGCATCTTCTCTAAGTTATATTAACTTTTCTTTTGTCATATGCATTTAAAATACTTTCTCTTAGTTTTTTGTTTATCAGCCTTTTCTTTTTTACAGCAAATCATGCTTTACAGGAAATTATCTGAAACATTCCTATCAAAAATAGAAATAAGATAAGAATGTTTACCATTGAAGCTAATATTTTACTGGAGCTCTTGGCCACTGAAAAGTCTCATTATTTTTTCTTTCTTTTTCTTTTTTTTTTTTTATTTATTTGTTCAGAGGCGGAGAGAGAGAGAGGCAGGCAGAGAGGCAGAGACACAGGCAGAGGGAGAAGCAGGCTCCATGCAGGGAGCCCGACATGGGACTTGATCCCAGATCTCCAGGATCACACCCCGGGCTGCAGGCGGCGCTAAACCGTTGCACCACCGGGGCTGCCCTTTATTTTATTTTATTTTATTTTATTTTATTTTATTTTATTTTATTTTATTTTATTTTTTTATTTTTTTATTTTATTTTATTTATTTATTTACTTAGTCTCATTATTTTCATATGATATATTCAACTAGAAAGATTGATTGACAAAATACGAAAACTAGTGAGTTCAGTATGTCCAGATATGAAATTAACAAAAATTGTGTATATAAAATATATGAACAGGGATCCCTGGGTGGCGCAGCAGTTTAGCGCCTGCCTTTGGCCCAGGGCGCGATCCTGGGGACCCGGGATCGAATCCCACGTCGGGCAACCGGTGCATGGAGCCTGCTTCTCCCTCTGCCTGTGTCTCTGCCTCTCTCTCTCTCTCTCTCTCTCTCTCTCTTTCTCTCTCTCTGTGTGACTATCGTAAATAAATAAAATAAAATAAATAAAATATACCAACAATGGCATCCATAAAAATGTGAGATAAATAATCTCACAATAAGAATATTACTACATTTCTAGGGGTGCCTGAGTGGCTTAGTTAAACGTCTACCTTTGGCTCAGGTCATGATCCCCGGGTCCTGGGATCAACCCCTGCACTGGGTTCCCTACTCTTGGGGGAACCTGCTTCTCCCTCTGCCTGCTGCTCCCTCTGCTCGTGTGCTGTCTGTGTCAAATAAAATCTTCTTAAAAAAGAAATTCAGGGAATCCCTGGGTGGCTCAGTGGTTTAGTGCCTGCCTTTGGCCCAGGATGTGATCCTGGAGTCCTGGGATCGAGTCCCATGTCGGGCTCCCAGTATGGAGCCTGCTTCTCCCTCTGCCTCTCTATGTCTATCATGAATAAAGTAAGATCTCTTTAAGGAAGAAAGAAAGGAAGGAAGAAAGAAAGAAAAAGAAATTCAGACTATTTTAGTGAAAGACAAAAAGGTCTTGGTTGAATGGAGAGTTTTACCATGGCTGTGAATAGAAAGACTTAATTTTGTAGAGATGTGAGTTTTTGCTATCAATTAAGGGGAGTTCTAATTAAAACAGGACCTTGGGGGATCCCTGGGTGGCGCAGTGGTTTAGCGCCTGCCTTTGGCCCAGGGCGTGATCCTGGAGACCCGGGATCGAGTCCCACGTTGGGCTCCCGGTGCGTGGGGCCTGCTTCTCCCTCTGCCTATGTCTCTGCCTCTCTCTTTCTCTCTCTCTCTCTCTCTCTCTCTCTATGTG